TTGTTGTTTGGCGGGTCCGGGCTGGGGATTCGAACCCGCCACCTTAGGTGTACGTGGCTGGCGCCTTAGCCGGTTGAGCTATAGGCGCCGAGCCGACAATTATTTCTAAACATAAAAACAAAACTGAAATACTTAGTATTTCTAAATGTAAGTCTAATAAAAGAATGTCTAACAAGGATGCTATTGGTGATTCCTATTGCTAAGTTTGAAGCCACCTTTCATCGTCCTCTATGTCCTCTAGAACAAGGGCCCAAACTTTGGATTTATTACCAGTAGAAGGAAAACAAATGTTAGAAGTGAAATGATTTGGATCCTGTCCATTAAGAAAGTACTGTAGGCCCGGCATGGTGGCTTATACCTATAATCCTAACACTCCGGGAGTCCGAGGCAGCCCAGGCTTGAGCTCACAAGTTTGAGACTAGCCTGAGCAAAAGAGAGATCCCATCTGTGCTTAAAAAAAAAAAAAAGAAAAGAAATTAAGAAAGAAAGAAAGAAAAACTGAGGCAAGAGGATTGCTTGAGCCCAAGAATCGGAGGTTGCTGTGAGCTATGATGCCACAGCATTCTAACCAGGGTGACAGCTTAAAACTTTGTCTCACACACACACACACACAAGAAAGTATTGCAATGCCAGCTCTTTACTTACAGCTTTAGGAGCCACATATCCACCAGGTGCCATGCCAATTCCTGTGGACAGTTCAAATAGGTCATTCAGACCACTGCTGACCACAGCAGGAGTAGGTGAAGGAGCAAATGTTGCAGGCACTGATGAAGGGATGAAGGATTGTCCCACCTGTGGGAGGAAAAAAAAGGGAAGGGGGAGATCAGGAAAGGCAGATTAATAGTCCTTAAGATGTTACTATGTATTTTAGCACTACTGATAAATCAATTAAAGAAATCATAATTATATTCGTAGGAGTCAAATAGTATAATCTTTGTCCTTTTGATCAGCACAGTTAGTTTTTCATTACTGATAGAATACACACACTCCTTAGAAGTTTATCAAGAGACAGTACTCAGTAGGATACAGGAACACAGTGATCCAAGATTTTGTGTGTTTGTTTCCAATTTTAGCTTCCATGATTCTGTGCAAAAGGCCTACTGATATCCTCATAAAAGGGGGAGTCTGTTTCTAAAGAAAGGGGTACAAGCAACCGATTTAAATAGCAGTTCCACTTCCACTCAGGTTCAGCGAAGTCTTACTTCCCCATTTAGGCATAAATACTAGTAGGAAGCTCTCCTAGGGAGATGGACATTCACACCCCCCAAACTAACTCATTTACAAGGAGAGTCTCACTCTGAGTCCACCTGACTCAACTTCTTCTAGATAGCAGGGAATAAGAGCATTCTCCAACCAAGATGGGAGATTCCATTTCCTTTAGCTCTTTAACGTCAAAAAAACAAAGACCTCTATAGGCACCAGAGAACTAATCTTTAAAGATGTCCCTAACATCACATGTGGTACATGACCCCAAAGATTCCAAGTAATCCTGTACTACTTTCTACTCCTCAGATACTATAACAGAGCTTTTGGTGTGCAGTGCTAGATAGCAGCAGTGGCTGGTCTGATAATGTGTACATAGGAAAGGCATCAAATAGAGGGCAGCGCTTCCCATGGTGAAAAAAACGGATGGCACTTACTGCCGGACTTCCTCCAATGCCCCCGCCAAGGTCACTGCCAAGCTGAAAGAGAGAAAGGAGAGAGGAGAGAGAGAGGTAGAGTTCATTTAGCTAAGTACTAGATGCCCATATAGAACCTATAAATTGCTCTATGAAGTTGCTAGAAATACATGCTATTCAACTTGTCTCCCAAAGCCTAAAGAAATTCTAGATTGCAAAGAAATACGTATTAGGGGAACCAAGTGGTGGCAGTGACAGTGTGTGGGTTCTGAAAAAACTTGGAAAGAAGATGGAGCTGGGACATCTCAGGGATGTTTCAGATCCAATCTTTCCACTGGGTTACAGAGGTACAAACCCAAACAAGACTTAAAGAGTTTGCATACTCTAAGAAGCTCTACCCCCAAGCAGCAATGTTTTGAATATATTTCATATTTTATTTTTTCTTTAAAAGGAAACTTAAGGGGCATTTAGAAAGAAAAACTAAAAAATGTATCTGATCTAAAAAACCTGCTGCCCTATTGAAAAGGTGGGAACCAAAACAGTATTGAATTACAATTTCAAGCTTCAAAAATTACAGGTGAAGCAAGAGTGATTTTTAGAGTTTAGGACATTCCTAAGAAAGAAAATAGCTGAGATAAAGAGATATCTATCCTACCTGGAGAAGAAGTGGGAGGCATGCAGTGCTTCAAATCCCTCTTACAGTCAATACTACTAAGAAGAACTACTGGGATTTACTTGGAGTAGATCACTTAAAAGGATGCTAAGCATTAGAAAATCAGACTGAGTTAGACTGATGGGAAAATAATTCCACATGGTCTTAGTGTTGCTTTCCCCCCCTCAGGATCCTGATATGTACCATTTGCCCTGAAGTCAGTCTTCCACGACAAAAACATTAAAGAAGAACTGAAGCTGAAAACAGCTAGCATGTAGGAAACGTCAAACACATACAACTAATGGCACTGTTTGAAAACTACTGTTTACCCTACAGCCAAATTTGCTTCTTCTCCAGTTCTCACTGTGCATCTAGAACACCTCCTTGAATCATCAAGTACCTTTTCTGCTCTAAACACACTTTCTTTATTATCTGTCATTTAATGATAGAAATGTGGAGATTGCAATAGTTGTGTTAAAAAACAAAATTATATCATGCCTTTAGGATTTGAGAAAGAGGATTTATTTTCTCAATGAACAGATAGTGTATAAAATCGGAAAATCTCAAATACTCAAAACAAGTGAAAAGTCTATGACAAAAATCTCTTTAAATGTTACAGAAAATAAACCTGGCAGGTGCTTCATAACTGAAATTAGCAAGCATGCTGTGTGCTAAACTACAGAGCACTGCAAACCACACCACCAGCATTTCCAGAATCTGTTTCCTGAAGACTACTTAATGGTTGAACCTGGGATGAAAATCACATACTTAAATAAAAAGGTCATCCCAGCCAAGAATTTGAGTAACTGGAAAAGTGTAAAAGCAAACAGAAAAGATATTACACATTTGCTTTCTCCCTAATTCTACAATGGCACACATCTGCAGCATGACATGTGAAAAGCATTAAATTCCTTTTATCCAAACAAACACATCAAGGAGGTAGTCAAGTGGGATTATGATGGGAAAAATTATGAAGAGGGAAAATAAGGGAAGGTCATTTTTCAAATAGCATGAACAAAGTCTGAGAAAGCATACCTGATCAAAAAGAATGAGTAGTCTAATTAGACTGGTGACCAGGGTAGATATGTGTCCAAAAAAAATACTCATGCGGCCAAGCATGGTGGCTCACGCCTGTTTGTCCCAGCACTGTGGGAGGCCGAGGTGGATGGATCACATGTGCTCAGAGGTTCGAGACCAGCATGAGCCAGAGTGAGACCCTTGCCGGGCATTCTGGCAGGCACCTATAATCCCAGCTACTTGGGAGGCTGAGGCTAGAGAATCACTTAAACCCAGGGACCCAGGGGTTGGCAGAGGTTGCTATGAGCTATGTACTCTACTGAAGGATACAAAGTAAGACTCTGTCTCCATTAAAAAAATAAAATAAAATAAAAGCCAAAAATAAAAAATAAAAAATAAAATACTCATGCAAGATAAGTTTGCAAAAGGCAGTCTGATTATGAGAGGTCTTCAATTTTCCCTTCATAAAAACTTAGATGTTTCTCAGACTAATTCTAAACTCTCTAAGAGGAATAATAACTACTCCAATTATGTCCCAGTAACTACAATTTCAACCTTGGGTAACCAATATAATCAATCAGTGGGGGAGAGTGCTTTTAAAAGTACTGATACCTGCGTCTTGCCCCCAGAAATAGTAATTTAATTGTTCTGGTAAAGCCTGGGCATGAGAGTTTTGAAAAGCTCCCCCAGTTGATTCCAATGTACAGACAAGGTTGAAAACACTGAGTCAGGCTCGGCACCTATGGCTCAAGTGGCTAAGGCGCCAGCCACATACACCTAAGGTGGCAGGTTTGAATCCAGCCCGGGCCTGCCAAACAACAATGATGGCTGCAACCAAAAAATAGCCAGGCACTGTGGCGGGCGCCTATGGTCCCAACTACTTGGGAGGCTGAGGCAGGAGACTCGCTTGAGCCCAGGGGTTGGAGGTTGCTGTGAGCTGTGATGCCACAGCAGTCTACCCAGGGGGATAACTTGAGGCTCTGTCTAAAAAAAAAATAAAAAAAGAAAGAAAGAAAACACTGAGTCAGAGATTAATTATTTTGTGTCAGACAAAATTCATCTGCTCAGAAATGATTTTGGTGCTTACTTATGAATAAAAAGAAATTGAGTAGAAAGAAAAACTTTAACAAAGGAGAGAAAAGGCTAAACACTAAAACTACAGAAGGGACTCTACAAAGCACATTTGTCCTGATACTTTCGAAGTGGTTTTATGACTTTTTTTTGTTTGTTTTTTGAAGACAGAGTGTAGCTTTGTCACCCCAGATAGAGTGCAGTGGCATCAGCTTAGCTTATAGCAACCTCAAAATCCTAGGCTCAAGCAATCCTCCTGCCTCAGCTTCCCAAGTAGCTAGAACTACAGGCATCCCACACTTGACTAATTTTTTTTTATTTTTGGTAGAGGTGGGTTTTCACTCTTGCTCAGGTTGGTCTCCTGAGCTCAACTGATTCTCCTCCCTGGCCTCTCAGAGCACTAGGATTACATGAGCGACTGTGCTCAACCTGATTTTATAACTCTCTGAAGGCCTTTACCCATTCTCTGCCCTTCTGCCCAGTCTTACAATCAAAGCTTAAAGGAGAATTCCTAATGCTGTATTTGGTACTCAATGGCAGACAAGGAAAATCACATTGGAAAGGAAACAAAGGAAATAAAGTTCATTTATACCCCTTATGTTCTTAGATTTCATTCTTTTTATCTTTGCATATCATGTGAATATTACCTTGGCTGGAAAAGATCTGAATGTCCTCTTCCCCAATGCTGCTTGTCAATTTTGTTCAAAATCATGGAAGAAACTGAAAAGCAGTCCTCATATTCCTTATTTTTATTCCTCATATCAGTGTATCAGACACTACTCAGCTAGATTCAAAAACTCTATTTTTGAAGACAGGGCTCAAAGGATATCAGAGACACATAGTGATATAAAAGTTCACCTAATTGTGCTGTGTCCACAGAGCAAAGGGAAAGGACAATTTCAATATCACGCGTCTTCTAACTAGCAAGGGTATAGCTTATTCAGACTTTATTCAGCATTTTTCCTCCTGACTAAAAAATTCTAAGGAGGTGATCTTCCTCTCTGAAAATGGGGCAAGGTGACAGTATGATGATGGGTGTGAGTGACTAATGGGAAGATGTCAGCAAGGATGGAAGCCAATTACCCAGTGACTGGCCTTTCCTGTCTACAAGTGACAAGCAGGATAAAGCAGATATAAATCAAAAAGGAAAAGGAGGGAGGAAGCAAGCTAGCTAGCTAGAAAGCTGAAGAAATACCCAAGAAAGTTGTTGTTTATCAGCCTGCTCTAGACATTAACTATTTTAGTTCAGTTGCCAGCATTATTTTGGAGTTAGGTTCATCTGTCTGGAAATACTCCAAATCCATACATATCAGAATACAAAATCAATCAAACTAGGACTTGTAAAATTCTGTTATCCAGTGAGCTAGAGGGAGCCAGGAGTGAAAAGAACAACTGTGCTTTGATGGCTTTGATCCTAATCTTCAGTGCCCAAACCCAGCGTTTTAAGTGTTCACTTCCCATTGTTCCCAGGATGGCCTTACTGAGGCTGCCATATTCTTCATGAAGAAAACATTTCAACTACAGACCAACTAAATCAGGACAGAGGAGGAAAGGAGAAAGATTCCAATTTGGGGAATATAATTATTTCAAATACTGAAAACTGAATATAATTTTCCTAAAGGGCTGTGACTGATACCCAAGCATGAATTTTCTGCTAGTGGTATAGTTTCCACAGTATCCAGTCACAGTAGTCTCCAACCACAATATTTGTAGTATTAAATAGCACTGAAATTAATACTAATATATGGCTACTGTCAAAGATAGTGGTCACTATCACGTGGTCACTTTACACGTCTGAAGTAATGCTGCATGGGACTCAGTCTATGCCGAATGACATGATAATGTGTTGTTGCACTATTAAGTCAGTAACTGAATGGAGAGCAGTGATTTTGTGTGACTTATTATAACTTATGGACTAAAGGGATTTTAGCATGGTTACATGAGCTCTGCAGCCGAGCAGGTAGATGGAAAAGTTCCAGAGCTGAGCCTGTATACAGGCCCTAGTTCAGCTACAGCTACCAAATGGAAGCACTCTCATCCAAGGGCAATATGCTACAATAGCAGAAATACAGAAAGAGAACTCAAAACAGAAATTCTAAGGGAACAAGTCTGCCTGACTCCATGAAAGAAAAGAAAAACAATATCTTTTATAAAGGAATATCAACTGAGATAACCATTAAGCAGACTAAAAAAAAAAAAATCCTACACTGATCTGGATTAGTCCCTTTAAGGTAGGTCTGACCAGTCCAAAATATAATACATCTATTTGCTTCTAAAACTAAGGCACTGTCTGGGTACCTGAAGACATTCTCTGAATTGGAAA